CCCCCCCCCCCCCCCGCTTGTTAGAACCAGCCTGGCCTGCGAACCGCACCTGGGTCCTGTGTGGGCCTCACTCTGCACTTCCCACGGCGGGCGGCGCCTCTGTGCGGCTTGCTGGCGAACTGCAGAGCTGCCAGGTGACAACGCGGTTCCTGGGCCCCGCCCTAAGCCCCTCCCCCATCGCGTGCTCCCTTGCAGTTTGTGTGCGTGGGCGGGAGCCCCTCCCGGATGCTGACCTTCATCGAATACGTGGCCACTGAGCTGGGCCTCGGCCGCCCTGGGGACGAGCACCCCAACATATGCTCGGGGACTGACCGCTACGCCATGTACAAAGTGGGCCCCGTGCTGTCTGTGAGTGTGAGTACTGCCCGGGATCCCCGCCGCCTCTGCACCCTGACAGCTGCTGTCCCATCGGCTGCTCCGAGCGGGGGGAGCCCCGAGCAGCGGCTGGGGACGGCAGGGCAGGATCCAGGTTCAGCCCGCGGGGGGTTGAGCACACACCCAGAGCCCAGTGCAACCATGGGCAGCCGTGCACACCGCGGGCGGCAGGTGGGCTACACAGTGGTGCTCTGGGTGGAGTGGTGCAGCGGGACAGCCACAGCCCCGCGGATGGTGAGCTGCAGTTAGCAGAGGACGGCGCAGTCCCTGCCCTGCCCGATGGCTGGGACCTGTGGCCATGCCAGGAGCCCATCTGTGAGCCCAGGAGGAGGACTGCGGGACAAATTCGAGAGATTCCTGTGCCCTAGGGCCCTGTCCCGTGAGGGCTGTCAGGAAAGATGACGCAGGCAGGGTGTTTGGGAGGTGGTGGGTGTGACAGACTGCGCGGGAGGAGCCCACAGGCGCTGGGCTTGTGGACCGGCTGCTTACCCAGAATGGCAGAAGCACAGAGTACAGGGAGGAGAGTGCGGAGGCCAGACGCAGGCCTGCGGTGGGCTTCTGTGCAGGGCTCCAGCTGCCAGTGGAGCTGTTTGTTCCTCGCGTTAGCCGCTGGTACCTTCCCGCTGGCCGAGCTTCCGGTTTCTCAGCCTCTACCACTGACAGTTCGTGTGGCCAGGCGAGCTCCCAGCAGGACAGCAGCGCGCACACGGCTTGGTTCCCAGCTTCGCAGGTCTTCAACTCGCGGTGTGACAGTGTGACACCACCTTCCCTTCCCCCCACGGCACGTAAAACATCACGCAGAGCCCAGGAGCTCCGCACCTGTGGTGGGTGCACCCCAAGACCTCTGTCGGTGCCGCACACCCCTGTGTGTGCTCTGGGTCTCTCCCTGCCACCTACACAGCTGTGACGCAGTCTAATGGAAACACCAGGCCTCGGTGACACAGCAGCTGATGCTGAAATAGAACAATTGCAATAGAACCCCGTGCCAGGCGCGACCCGTGTGTGCACCTCTGTCACTGAGCCCAGGCTGCTGGGCTGAGGGCTTACATCGGGCCTCAGATGGTGTCCTCTGCTTCCAGCACGGCATGGGGATCCCTTCCATCGCCATCATGCTGCACGAGCTCCTCAAGCTGCTGTACCATGCTGGCTGCACCGACGTCACTGTCATTCGCATCGGCACCTCGGGTGGGATAGGTAAGGCTGGGCCCGGCAGGTGCGGAGGCAGGCAGGTGCGGGAAATGTGCAAGGAGGCTCGGTGTGTAAAGTTCTCCCAGCTGTGCGTGACCAGAGCTTGTGCTTCTGCTGTTGGAGACACTTGTGTCTTCTTATTGTGGTTTGTGTTTTATTTTCCAATCCCTCCTTCCCTTCTGCCTTCTGCTCTTTCACTCAGTGCGCCACCCCTTCCTACAGGGATTTGAAGCACTTTTATGAGAAAAATCTAAAAATAAATAAATAAATAAATAAAATAAAAGGCTGAGGCAGGAGAATCCCAAGTTTGAGCCAAACCTGGGGGATTTAGGAATGTAGTGAGACTGTATCTCAAAATAATACACAAAAGGATTGGGGCTGTAGCTCAGTGCAAAAGCCCTGGGTTTAGTCCCCAGTAGTGAAAAAAAAGAGGTGATTGGAAAGAATTCTGTAGAAGGGCTTTAGATATTGAAACTCCCTAAGTAGCCCTGGGAGTTGGGCATTCTAAGTGAGAGCAGGGCCCCCAGTTGGCGATATCACCGATGACCCCTGAGTGTGGCAGAGTGGGGACAGAGCTGGAGATGTGGGCCGCTGCGGGTGTCTGCAGACCTGGCACGTAGGAAGCTAAAAGTGTTTTTGTGTTTTTTTTGTACTGGGGATCAGACCCAGAACCTTACACTTGTGAGGCAGGCATGATGCCACTGATCTACATCCCCAGCCCTATATGTTTCTTGAGACACAGGGCCTTGCTGTATCCCCCAGGTTGGTCTCCCAACCTCTTGGGCCTATGTGATCCTCCCGCTTCAGCTTCATGAGAAACTACAGGTGTGTGTCGCCTGTCTGCTCTTCTGCTCCTTCTTGTCTTCCTCCTTCTTCCTACTGGGAATTGAACCCAGTGCACACTGAGCTACTTCCACAGCCCTTTTTTAAAATTTTTACTTTTTGAGATGCAACCTTGCTAAATTGGTATATTGTCTGGGCAGGGCTGGAACTGGCGATCCTCCTGCCTCAGTTTCCCACAGTGCTGAGGTGACAGGTGTGTGCCACTGCACCTGGCTTCAGTCGTATTTTCAGCTGTGCACAGAAACAGCTTATGGGGAGTTCAGGTAAAGGTCTCCTGCTTTGCCCTCATTTCCTTGACAAGGCTGCAGTAGTGTCAGGAGAGGATGGTGGTGTCCTGGACCATTGGGGCCGCTGGAGCAGATGCACGGTGGTCAGCTCAGCTCTGGAGCGGGAAGGTCAATCTGAGGTCTCTTTGAGGGCACTCATCTCATCACAAGGGCCTGCACACTGCACTTGGAACTGATCATCTTGCAAAGCCTAGCCTTCTAACACAGTTGCTGCCTAGGGGCCCAGGGTTTCCATACACAACTTCTGCTGGGGGTCCCAGTGCCTTTGCAGCGAGTTGCATTCCCAGCCGTTCATTCGTTCACTTATTTAGCAATAGGGTCTTATTAAATCGCTGAGTTCCCAGGTGGGGCTTGAACCTGTGATCCTTCTGCCTCAGCCTCCCACAGTGTTTGGATGACAGGCGTGGCCCACCAGGCTCCACTGCAGCGCACAGACCCTGGGCCCCAGATACAGCAGTGGCCCATCATGTAAAGTTGCTGTGAGGTCACAGGATGGGGCAGAGTCCGTCCTTAGCGGAATGAACATACAGGGCAAAATACCAGCACACCAGATTTGAACCCCAAGAATGCGTCCTGAGGAGGAGCAGGCAGGAATGGCCTCACTGAGGCCAGAACGGCGGGCTTGGGGTCATCGTGCCCCCTCCTATCCTTCTTCGGTATTCGCCGTGAGCAGGCAGTGTGGGGTCAGGTAATGGCCGGGTGGCCTGTCCCCCAGGTCTGGAGCCCGGCTCCGTGGTCATCACACGGCAGGCCGTGGACGCCTGCTTCAAGCCGGAGTTCGAGCAGCACGTGCTGGGGAAGCGTGTGGTCCGCGGCACAGACCTGGACGAGGGGCTGGCGCAGGAGCTGCTGCGCGGCTCCGCCGAGCTTGGGGAGTTCACCACGGTGCTGGGCAACACCTTGTGCACGCTAGACTTCTATGAGGGTGAGTGGAGCAAGCGGGGAGGCCGGGGCGGGGCCGGGGCCGGGGCAGGCACGTCCTCGTCACCGCGTGGGGGCCCTGTGCACAGGCCAAGGCCGTCTGGACGGCGCCCTCTGCTCATACACTGAGAAGGACAAGCAGGCCTACCTGCGGGCTGCCCACGCTGCAGGCGTCCGCAATATTGAGATGGAGTCGTCGGTCTTCGCCGCCCTGTGCAGCGCATGCGGCCTCCCAGGTGGGTGTGCCAGGAGGGCTCCCCTGACCCGCGTACAGACATCCTGCTCCTCCGTGTCCCCACCCGGGTGCCCGAGGTCCAGGGTGGGCTTTGGCTACTCCAAAGCACTTCAGTGCCCTTGTGAGGCCGGGATTCTAGCTGTGGTCAACCCAGGACCCTGGGTGGCAGGCAGGGAGGGACCCACTCAGGGACTGGGCGGGGCCTGCCTGGGGCCCCCAGGGGACAGCAGGGCACCCCTCGCTCCCGGTGCACCCCTGTCCTGCGGGCCAGCCTGGGCTTTCTGACGTGGGGCTCTGTGCAGCGGCCGTCGTGTGTGTCACCCTCCTGGACCGCCTGCTCGGGGACCAGATCAGCAGTCCCCACGAGGTGCTGGCTGAGTACCAGCAGCGACCGCAGCGGCTGGTGGGCCACTTCCTCAAGAAGCGCCTGGGCCGCGCCTGAGCGATGGGCTGCTGCCATCTAGCCAGTGGACCTGCGGTCCAGGTCCCCCGTGTCACCTGGAGCGCACTGCATCTGAGGACTTGGGGAGCGAGGGGAGGAGCCATCAGGACCTCAAGGGACATCATCTTCTTAAGGCTTCCCTAGCATGTCGACGACTTGACCATGGTCTGGAGTTCTTTTTTCTTTTTCTAGAACATTCTATTGAATATTTGAACTCTTGTGAGGGAAAAATTTAAGATTTTAAAAAATGCTATGCAATTCACGTGAATACATAAGGAATTTGATCACCAGAGCAGCAAACTTATTTGCAATACACCTTTTTTTTTTTGTACCAGGGATAGAACTTGGGCCCTTGTGCTTGTGAGGCAGGTGGCAGAACCACTGAGCTAAATCTCCAGTGTGGTATGCTTTTAAAATCCCTCTCCCGCTCCCCACCTTGGGGTCCTGTGACCCTGTGCCTGTGGACAGGACCTCTTCCTCAGCCCCTGGACTCGGGTCAGGCCATCCTGCGGTCCTGTCAGGACTCTGGTGAATGCAGGTTTCCAAGCTTGAGATGGTTTGTGTCCCGGGCCCAAGGAGGCAGGTGCCGAGGCTCAGGTCTCCTGGTCGTTCCTCCTGTGAGTCTGAGGGGCATGGGAAGGGTGCGTGTGTGGCTTATGACCTCTTATTTGCAGCCTGAGATTCACCCCAGATGAGGAGTCTCTCAGCACCCACCCTGGTGGAGCTGGCAGCTGGAGTCCCCTGCCCTGGACCAGCCTTTTCCTTCCCACCTTCTCATCCCAGCCCAGCTTGGCTGAGGGTGCCCTGCTCAGTTTCCCTCCTTGGCACCTCCATGGCTATACCCTTGCCTGAGGCTCGGGACCCCAAGCTGCATGTGTTCAGAAGGGGCTCCATCCCCAAGGAGCCCTTTCCTGCTCCGTCTTCAAATCCTCTGTGCCCGAGTCTGGCTGGAGATCTGAGGATGGCTGCATGGTCCCGTGTGTGCTTAACAATGGGGCAGGTGGGGCACATAGAGCTTTCCTGGAATGGTCTTCGCCCTTCATCCCCTGCTGGTGTCACAGATTCCTGGGCCTGCACACTGCAAAGAGGATAATGGCCAGGCTCAGTCTGTATTGCCCTCTGTTGGCCATGTCTGGTAGTGCATATCATCCTCTGGTCCCAAGCAGAAATCCTCAGCTCAGGTGCGTGGCTACCTGAGGACTGTACCAGGGCCTGGCATCCCTGACACGCAGAGAAAGCAGCAGAACCACGCATCTGGTCAAGTATAATGACTCTCCTGCTGCTGTCCCAGATGAACCCAGACATTTCAGTTGGTCCCTGCTGTTTGGAGCTGATGGCACAGACTTTAGGCAAGTCATTCAAATTCCTCCAGAGGTCCCTGGGCCTTCATGAGGGCTGAGCTCATGTCCAGGTCTGTCCACTAGCTGGGCAGAAGCTCCCCACTGTCCTCCATCCCACCCTGACCATGATGACCACTTCCTGCACCTTGGTGCTTTCCATGGGCCACGACTGGGGGCGTAACTGGCTTGTTCTGGAAGCTCTGATCGCCCCAGATTCCCACAGCTGCGATCCGGATCTGGCTCCCCATTATCTGCCCATGCCACCCTAGCACAGAGCTCAGAGAGCCTCACTGGAGTTCTGGCCCAACACCATGCCAACTGGAGGGGGAGCAGGGGCCAGCAAGCCCGCAGCACCCCTGTTTAAACCAAGAGCTGTGGACGTATTGCTGCCCCCACCACCCGCCAGGTCCCCTCATTCCCTGCCTACCCTGCTACCTGTCCAACCCGAAAGGGAGATCCTGGTAGTGGTTTGTTCTTACAAGTGACCACAGAGATGACGAGACATTTTAGAAGGTTGGCTATGAGTCTCCTGTACTCTGTCACGAATCCCAGTGCTAATCCATGTTTTAAACCCAGGTTTAGAGCTCACAGCCTGGCCATTCCCCTCTGCTCCTGAGCCTGCTGGCCACACAGCCTGGCGACACTCCCGAGACTCAAGATGTTCCTGGTGGGAGTGTCCTCGGCAGCAGAAGCCAGGACCCTGGCAGCCGTGTGCCAGAGAAGGGGTGCATGTGACTCAGGGGAAGGTGCATCATGTGGACACGGGACGCCAGCAGCCTCCCCAACAGTGCAGAAGGATCTTGCAAATGGAAAAGCAAATCACAGAATGGTGTGTACAGCTCAGAAAGCCCGAACAAGAATCTGTAGTGCAGGCATGCATACACTGAGAACAGACAGGAAGTTGGGAAACCCTAAACCAGGGCTGGAGGCTCAGTGGTGGGGCGGTGTTTGGGAGAGGCAGGGGGCCACAAGGGGGCCAGCAATATTCTTTCCTGTGTTAAATTCTGTGCCTCTGGCTTCCTGTTTTCTTGACGCTTTGCTCCTGTTCCAGAGCACCTCAGCAGGTGTTAATGAGATATCTAATTACCCACTTCAGGGCTGAGGTTTGTGTGCTGCATAAAGGAATCGTCCCAGTGTGAGGAAGCACACAGGACCCAGCTCTGGCAGCTGTGGAGCAGGAGGCCTGCTGTGCAGGGGTGAGCTCCTTACAAACTAGAGCAAAGCCTTGTCTGGCGCTTCCATGACTGATCCTGCCCTCCCACCCCAGCTTTTGCAGGGCAGGGAGGCTAAGGACTGACCAGGGCCTGCTGTGAGGTCATACAGGGGCTGCCATGCGAAGTGGAGCAGTCTTTGTATACATGAGTGCACACAGGCATCCACCTGTTGGCACACACGTGTATGGGTGCACGCACATGCACACACATCTGTGAGACCTGCAAATATGTGTGTAGGCATTCAGACACGTGTACACCCACAACATGACTGCAAACACATTCACACCCGCCATGTGTGTATAGGCACAAGCATGGAAACACAGATACACAGGCTCCTCTAACAGGAAAGACTAGCACTTGGCTCTTGACTTCATGGGAAAGGAGGATTTAAGCCTGGATCCAATGCTTTCCAATGCTTCTGTGATGCAGGGAGCATCACAGGGCTGGGGACTGGCTCACCTTCCAGCTTCTGCAGTGTTTTGTTAACAGCTTCAAAAAAGTAAAACTGATTGCCATGCACATAGCGTATCTGCTTTCCTGTGGTTGGCACAAAATACTCAACACTCACACTTTAAAGGAGGGCTTTAATTCAGCTCATGGTTCAGGGGATTCAGTCCATGGCTGGCTGGCTCAGAGGCAGAAACGTTGGAAGGGTGGGCGTGGTGAAGCAGAGCTACATCCTCAAGGCAGCCAGGAAGCAGAAAGAGAAAGGAGGGGCCAGGGAGGCAGAGGGAGCTACCAGGTCACACCCCAGTGGTCTCCAGCCACCTCCTGACAGCACATTCGGCCCTGAACTCACCCTGGAGAATCCACTGCTGAGCACAGTGTCCCCACGGTCCAGTCACCCTCCCAGAGCCTCATTCTGAATTCTTGAGCCGACTGGGGACAGATGGATCCCAACCCTCACAGTGAGTGTGTGTGCCATAGAACTAAAACAGTCCGGCCACCACAAGACCCTTCCCGGTCAACATGTGAGAGAGAAACACCATGAACAGAGGCGGCACTGTGGTCAAGGAGGGAGGTGACAGGCCCTTGTGGCACTCTTTAGTGAGCTGGAGAAGAATGAGGAGCACTCCTCCCTCTTCTCAGGGATGTGGAGCTACCATTTCTAGGGTGGGACCAAGTTCAGCAGCAGGGAGGGGCTGGCAGAAGAGTCAGGATGCACAGGTTCACTGGTGAGGGCCAAAGTGCTCAGGACAATATTCCACTTCCTCCCGGGAGGGCTGGCCTGTTTTATCATTCCCATTTTCCTCCTGGGACACCTGCACCTCCTCATGCCCAGCCACTTGTCCTGTCTGAGGCTGGGCCTTGCACTCCTGCCAACCGGCTTGCCAAGTGTGTGGCTAGTGCTGTCCTTGTAATGCAGACTACGCAGGGCTGTGGAGCACATGGTCCTCATAAACTTCACAGGGTTGTGTGGACTCTGGAGCGTGGCTTTGTTCCAGCTGCAGCTGGAGTCAGCTCGGCAACCGTCAGGGCAGGCAGCTTGTCTGCGGGCGGGCAGTGCACAGCCACACAGGCGCTCTGGGCTATGGTACTGTGCTTGGAGCAGGGTCGGTTTTCATGATCAATCGGGGAGGGAGTCCCTGCGGATGCTTTTTATTAATAAAACTCCACTTCTTTTGCTATGAGGTGTGACTGAAAAATACAGTGTGTGTTAAAAACATTATTGCAGTGAAAGACATCACCATGGATCCCCTTCCTCCTCTCCATTCCTGCTCACTCCTCCCCTCGTCCTCCCCACTTCCTGCAGCAGCTCTGGAGCGCTCTTTCCTGGGGGGGTCTGCAGTTACACTGTCCTGGCTGCCTCCCTGTCCTGAATGGTTTCAAAACGTCTCCCCTTCAAGGTCATTTTGATTTTGGGGAAGAGCCAGAAGTCACACAGTGCCAGATCTGGTGAACAAGGTGGATGAGAACAGTACCATGTTTTTATGAGCCTGCTTTTCCTTTGGATGGCGCTCAGCAGCAGTAGTCACTGTGTTTTTTTATCACACCTCATAAAGACACCCACAGGAGAGGACTTCAGAATTGCTTTGGAAAGAATGATAGGGAAAGTGTGTTCAAAGAGAGGGAGAGGATTTTGAGTGTTCATGACGATGTATCTCTTACTGAAGTGATTTTTATTTTATTTTATTTTTTTGGTACCGGGGATCAAACTCTGGTCCTTGGGCTTGCAAGGCAGGGAGCAGAACCACTGAGCTAAATCCCCGGCCCTACTGCAGTG